TACTACTACTACTACTACTACTACTACTACTACTACTACTACTACTATTACTACTACCACTACTACTACTACTACTTCTTCTACTACTACTACTACTACAACGGGTACTACTACGAGTAGTACTTCTCCCACGAGTACTACTTTTAGTATTACTAGTATTTGGACTCCTACTACTAGTATTTTTATTATTCCTTTTTGATATGAATACTGCACTATTCGGTGCCATACTTCATGATAGTAGTCTATTAATTTCAATATATATATATATATATATATATATATAATATATATTACTTTTCTGTACTCGAGAGGTTCTCGAGATCCCCGGGGCGGACGTGGATATCGGATGTGTTCTGGCGGAGGATCGGGGGGCTCGCTGCAGGGCCCGCTGCCCTGCCTCTAGTGTTAAGTCGGGCGTGTCCCTCCACAGGGGGAATATCCAAAAATAGTTTTAAGCATAGTCTGGGGACGATTTTTTGGTGTTGTTTTTAAAAATAATAATAATTGTTGAACATATTTGGGGCCATCTTGGTAGGAAAGGCCCAACATGTCAGGTCGTATTTTGCCCTGTTGGGCTATCTTGGAGCCCTCCTGGGGCCCTCCCTGGGGCTGTCTTGGGCAGTCTTGTTGGTGGGCCCCTGGGGTTGTCCTTGGACTCTATTGGGCCGCCTTAGGCCCTTCTCGGAGGCATCGTGTACCGTCTTGGGCCGATCTTGGAGGCCACTTGGGCCGTCGTGTTCGCTGTCGAAACGTAAAATGCGAACGTGCTGAACACCCACGCTTTTCCGAGGGAATGGGATGATTTTGGCCTCTTGGAGCCCTCTCGGCGCTCTGGGCTGTCTTTGTGGCCTCGTCGGCCATCTTGAAGCCATTCTGGATCGTCGTGGGGCTAACCTGGGGCGTCCTGACGCTCTCTTCGACTGTATGTATTGGCGCTCTGTCTGGGCCCTGTTGGGCAGTCTTGGGGATCTCTGGGGGCTCCGGAAGCCCTTGGGGTGCGTTGACAAGCTCGTCTCCCCCCCCACTCCCCCCCCCTGACGGCATTTTGGACCCAGGGGAGCGGGAAAGCGGGAGGGGGACAGCCAAATGTCGCACACGCCTTGTCACCCCTTGCAAGCGGGGGTCGCAGACATACGTCGTACATGTACATGTGCATAGACGTGTGTGCATGTACACAGCCGTATACACGTATTCGCGCATACGTATAACCATCCAGAACTAGCTACATATACTCATATCAACATGTATATGCTTCCCACGCAGTGTTTGCACTGAGGGGTTCTTACTTGTCTCTCCGAGGAACTGGTTGGGTCCAGCGAGGGTTTTCAACAATACCGCCCGTTGCCGCCTCGTTGCCGCCTCGTTGCCGCATCGTGCGCGGGGTGGGTCCGGCGAGGTTTGGCCACGTTGCCGCCCGTTGCCCCCTCGTTGCCGCCTCGTGCGCTGGGTGGGTCTGGCCAGCTGCCGCCCGTTGCCACCCCGTTGCCGCCCTGTGCGCTGCGTTGCCGCCTCGTGCGCTGGGTGGATCCGGCGAGGTTTCGCCACGTTGCGGCTTGTTGCCGCATCTTTGCCAGCCTGCACCACGAATACTGGACCACATAGCTTGTACCACGTAGCTTGCGTCACATAGCTTGCACAGCCACAGAGTAATAACTTGCTTTTGGGTCACGCTGTTTAACAATTGTATGAACAGCTGCGCCCTCTGCTTCTGCGCCCTGGACCCGTCATTCCCTCTGGGGCTTTCCCAGGGCTTCTTCGCCCTGGAACCTCTTTGGCAAACCCTGTCACCTCCTGGCGCCACCCTGGATCCATCTACGGCCCTTTTCGGGGCCCATTCGGGCATCACTGGTCCATCTTGGGTCCACCCAGAAGCCTCCCGTAGAGATGTCGAGCCGGCATGGGGCCACGCTGGGCGCGAAGTAAGTGGGCATAACCCGCCAATCAGCAGGCCAGTCGCATCAGCAATGCGGGCGGGCAACATCAAAGCAACTCTTGGAAGGAGGACGGCGGCACGCGGGCCGTGCCGCGGGACCCGAGGGTGGCAGCTCGAAGACCGCCCTCCGGCCCAGGGCCGGGCTCGTCCGCTCGCTCTCGGGCTCTCGGGGGTCACCTTGCACGGCTCGGTGCTGTGTCTCCCCGACCGCAGCGCACTGCTGGCAGGGATGCCGCGCCTCCTCGCCCGGGTGGGCTCCGCAGGGGTACGTGCGGACGCGGATCGAGGCCGTGCTGCAGCAGATCAACGAGATGAAGAGCGGAGCGGGCGGCGCGAGCTCCGCCAAGCAGCCGCCGCCTCGGGCCCGGCGGCGGCGGCGGCCCTGGGCAGGCTCCTCCCCTTTCCCCTCCCCTCCCCTCCCCTCTCCCCTCTCCTCTCCCCTCCCCTCTCCTCCCTCCCCTCCCCCTCCCCTCTCCTCCCTCCCCTCCCCTCTCCTCCCTCCCCTCCCCTCCAGCCGGGGGACGGGGGGAGCTGCCCGGCCGCGGCGGGCCGAGGCGCCAAGCCGGGGCGAGGGCCCCCGCCGAAAAAAGCCCGCGCGCGAGCCGGAGCGAGAGCGAGCGAGGCGGACAGCCCAGACGGATGCCGAAGGCGACCATCTGCGCTGCCTCCTTCCATACCGACCCCGGAAAAGATGGTGCGACGATATGTGTAAGTATTTGCAGATACACGGTTTCCAAGCTACACCAGAGAATTGGTACATCATTCTTCGAGACAACGACGTTCACCATCTACGAGAAGATTTCGATAACACGCACTGAGCGCTGCGGCGCTACACGCCCATCCCCGTAGTTGGGACAGCTCTCGCTGTAGTGGCGTTCGTTCGTTCGTTCCTCCCCTCGCTCCCTCTCCCGGGGAGGTGCCCCCGCCGGCGCAGTCGGAGCACGCCGCCGCGCCCGACGCGCGGCGGGCGGCCCCCGCCCCCGCGCGCGCGCGAGCGACCGCCGCGTCGGAGAGCGCCCTTCGGCTCATCGGCGGCGAGGTTGGCGAGGTGTCTGCACGCTCAGTCGGAGCTCGACGAGAGGTCCCATCTTCTGCGAAGCCGCGCCTGACGCGCAGCCAGCGGCCCCTCGCACGCGCGCGAGCGATCGCCGCGTCGGAGAGCGCCCTTCGGCTCAGTGGCGACGCGGGCGTGGTGCCCCCGCCCGCTCAGTCGGAGCTCGATCACGAGAGGCCCCAGCTTCTGCGCCGCCGCGCCCGACGCGCAATTCGTTGTCGGTCTTCGGAAGCCTGGGCGGCAGCAGTCGGCCTCCAGAGAGGCCTGGCATAGGCCGCAGGAGCAATGTTTTTCCAGCCTCGAAAAAATGCGTGTTCGGTGTTCGGAGGCCTGGGAGGCAGCACTCGGCCTTCACAGAGGCCAGGGAGGCCGCCGAGACTTTTTGTTCGAGCCTCGAAGAATGCGTCGTCGCTTTGCAGGGGCCTGGGAGAGGCAGCAGTCGGCCTCCAGAGAGGCCTGGGGGGCAGCAGGAGCAGTTTCTCAGCCTCCTCCTCCTCCTCCTCCTCCTCCTCCTCCTCCTCCCCCTCCTCCTCCTCCTCCTCCTCCTCCTCCCCCTCCTCCTCCTCCTCCTCCTCCTCCTCCTCCTCCTCCTCCTCCTCCTCCCCCTCTCAAGCCCCGAAGCATTTTTGTCACGGCTTCCCAAACCCCCACCAATCGACGGCGGCCAGCGTGGATTACCAAGGGCCGACCAGTGGCGACGCGTCCAGGCTCGCTTGAGTAGGCCCACCAAAGACTGTTTTGTTTTCGCACACAGGTAAGGACATTCTTGTCGTTCTTAGAACATGCCTGGGTTGTAAGAACACGTCGTGGTGGGCCTGTAGGAATGCCGGGACGGTCGGCCCCTGCTCAAGAGAGCCAGCCATATGGAAGGAAAGCCCCATGAGCTGCCACGGAGTCCTCCTGCTCGCTTCCTCCTGCTAGGCGCAGTGTGCCAGCCTGCAGTGCAGATCAGTTCGTCCACTTCTGACCGTCATTGTTCCGCACGAAGCACTCCCACCCGTTGATCTTCGGGCGCGGCGAGATGCCAACCTCAGGGCACAACAACCAATCCCATCCCCATTCTCACCCTCATCCTCATCCTCATCTCCTATCCTTCTCACGCCATCCTCCTCCTCCCGAGCATCCTCATCCTCAGATCACCCTCGGAACCTCGCCGCCAGCCGCATCCTCACCGCCATCTGCACCTCCCCCTGTGCACTCCGCAGCCCGTGGCGGCAGGCCCCCCCCCCCGCGCAAACCCTGGCCCCATGAGCTGCCACGGGATCCTCCTGCTCGCTTCCCCCTGCAGGGCGCAGTGTGCCAGCCTGCAGTGCAGATCGGCTCCCCCGGCGCACTCCGCAGCCCGTGGCGGCAGGCCCTCACGGCCGCCCCCCCCTGCGGGGCAGCCGGTCGTGGTGGAGGCGACGCGCGCTCCACTCGGAGAAGCGTTCCTTCCCAGATCTCCTCCTCCTCCTCCTCCTCCTCCTCCTCCCCCTCCACCTCCTCCTCCTCCTCCTCCCTCCGCCTCCTCCTCCTCCTCCTCCTCCTCCTCCCCTCCTCCTCCTCCCCTCTCCTCCTCCTCCTCCTCCTCCTCCTCCTCCTCCTCCTCCTCCTCCCCTCCTCCTCCTCCTCCTCCTCCTCCTCCTCCTCCCTCCTCCCTCCTCCTCCTCCTCCTCCTCGCCTCCTCCTCCTCCTCCTCCTCCTCCTCCTCCTCCTCCTCCTTCCTCCTCCTCGTCCTCGTCCCGTCCTCCTCCTCCTCCTCCTCCTCCTCTCCTCCTCCTCCTCCCCGTCCTCCTCCTCCTCCTCCTCCTCCTCCTCCTCCTCCTCCTCCCCTCCTCCTCCTCCTCCTCCTCCTCCTCCTCCTCCTCCTAGCCGCTTTTCCCAGGTATTCGACGGCGATCTCGTTGGAGTCTGGTGCCCCACGGGGCTGGTTCGACGGTCCTGTGGATGTTTTGTGGCAGTCCCCAGGGCGCGCGCGCCGATGAGGGCATGCCGGGGTGCCCAGATCGCCCAGAAGGGCCGCCTGCGGCCCGAGTTGTGGACCGCAAGCCGCCTCCGCCCGTACATGTGGGTCAGAGTGCACGTTGGAACCGCATGGCCGTCCCTGAGAGCAGGCGGTGTTCTAGGGGAACAAAAAGTGACATAACATAAAAACTCGGAGGTCCGCGCGGATTTCTCGGATCGGCGCTGGACCCCCCTCCCTGGCGCGCGGAGCGCGCCAGGGGCGGCGCCAGAGGCGCCGCCGGGGGGCCCCAGCGCTGATCCGAGAAATCCGCGCGGACCTCCGAGTTTTTATATGTCACTTTTTGTTACCTTATGTTCGCACAGCTGCTTTGCGGCACGCGTGAATGGCAGCGCCCGACCGTGAAACGCAATATGTGGTGTGAGGACCACTTGCACTTCCTCGGTAGGGGTCCTCGTCGGGCTTCTTATTCCTTGTGGCGCGCAGGGCGAGGGATACAGAAAGAACGCGCTCTTCGCATCGTGCCTGTCGGCCCTGTTGGCGGTGAGCCTGGGAAGGCAATTCCTCCGCCCCTTCCCCGTACATTCCCCCTCCCCCTACCCATCCCCCCCCCCGTTTGTGGTTGAGGGGGGGGGATGGAAGGGGAGGGGGCGGGGGCAGCGTCCTTCGTGTACCGGTGTCGCGCGGAGGGCCGCGTCTTCCTGCACCCCCCCGCGTCGCCGTGCGCACCTGTGGCGTAAGCGCAAGCTGCCCGCGCGACCGACGGGGAGGTTCCAGAGGCAAGGCCGGGCCGGCGACCGCGTCGGGGCATCCCAGCGCACCCCTTCGGGGCTCAGATGAGGCAATGTTCGGGGGCGGAAAAGAGGGGGGTGATGACTAGGGGGGGGGGGATTTCATGGCGCGGGCCATGACATTTCCTCAGATTTCATGGCGCCTCCTCTTATTTCACTACAGCCCTGGTGCCCCCCCCGCGCTGGGCCGCGCACGTGCCGCCGGTCATGCTTTGCGCCCCCCCCTCCTGGACACCCCCCTCCTTTGCCGCTCCCGAAAGGTGGCTGGTGCGCCAAGGTGCGCCAAGCTCCGGCCTCCGTTGCCTTCTGCCGCCGCGTCTCCGCCCGGAGGAGAGGAGATGCCCCCGCAGGGGTGCCTCGGGGCGGTCGCCTGCCCAGCTTGCCCATAGCGCGTCAGGCGGCCCCTCGCCAGGGGCCGACCGTGGAGGGGCCCCGCTCGCGGAGGGGACGGAATGCGAGACAAAACGACGCCACTACTCCAGATTTCGTAATAAAGGAGGGGGTCTGGACCCTCCAAGACGAGCCATTTCAGACCTCCCCCGTGGGAGAACCCTCCAAAACATCGTCCCCAGACCCCCCCAGGCCCTCCAAGATAGCTTGGAAAAGACCCCCCCCCGAAATGAGACCCCCCCTCCCTTTATTACGAAATCTGGAGTAACATGTGATCGTTTTCTTATTCATTGTTTTGCCGATCGGCGCGGGCCCTCGCCCCCCCCCCCCCCCCCCCCCGCCCATGGAATAGATCTCGGCTGTTTTGGGCGCCTGTTTCGATCAAGCGGAGGCTCCCCCACAGGCCGTGCTGCTGCAAACAGTCGCACCAAGTAGAGGTCTGGGCCAGACCCCCCCCTCTCCCCCCCTTGTCCCAACGCCGAAACGTCGAATCAAAAACGATCTCCCCCCAAAACAGCGACATCAATTTTCCGAAGTCTGAGAAGTCGACTTCCCGACGCCCGAAAGCCTGAAGCGAACCCTGAGCAGCGTCTCGCCGCCGAAACTTGGCAAATCAACGTCGCGATCCCCAGGAAACTTGTTCCAATGAGCCTACTAGCAACAAGCCCCAGGACCCTGTGCCTGGGGAGGCCCGCCGCGGGGCTGGTGGGGCCTCGCCTGATGGGGCCGCAGACTCCTGTGAACTCAACGGCTTCAGGCCAGAGGAGGCAGAAAATGTCGACGCAACCGTCGCTCGACAGCGCGCGCGGGCGCGAAAAGCAATCGGAGCGAGTCCCTGCACATGTTGGAGGCGCCCAGAAACAATTTCCCAACCTTCCAGGAATGCGCTTCCTCCTTTTCCATCGATCTCCTTGCTTCTCGTTCCTTCCGTAGGCGTACGCATGAGAGTTTCGTGGGGCACCTCAGGGGGGCACCTCCGCAACTTGGTTCTCGGTTCCGGCCCGGTTCGATGCCAACGGCTCGGGTTCCATTTCTGTCTGGTTCACATTTGGTTTGGGTGGGCCTCGCTTCTCGCCAGTTCTTGCTCGATCTGTTCGGTTCCGCGGTTCAAGGTTCGGTTCGGAGGTTCGCTGTCGTTGGCCTGGTTGTACGCCCTCGCGGTTCGCTTACCTGGCCGTCGGTCTCCGCCCGATTCCTGCGCGGCTTTCACGCCTTCGGTTCCAGCGCCCCGTCTCTTCAGCTTTCCTGGGTGGGTTCTAAGTGAGTGTGCTTCGCACCGTGGAGTTGATCGTCGTCATTATCTGTTTCCTGCACTTCTCCCCAGGTCACTTCCAGTCCGCGTCCGAAGGATTTACCTGGTTCCATTCAAAGGTCGTCCACACTTACCGTGTTTTTTCGGTCGCCGGGGGCCGTTCTGGTTCCAGCTCATTTCCAATTTATCGTATTCCATTTGTTCGCATGGATCTGTTCTGCGTGTTCACTGCAGCTCTGGCGTTCCCGTGAAAGACTTCACGTTCTGACCGCGGCTCTGTCTAATCCACCTCTCCTGTCTGTCGGGCTCTTATAGTGCCGCAGTTCGCCTCCGCAGCGCCCCTCCCAACGCTTGACCGGTACCTGCCTCGCGGGCGCCCCCCGATGAAACAGGTTTTTTAGTGGAAATGCGCTCCATTGCCAGGTCCGCCGCCTTGTTGTCGCCGTCGCCGCCCCATTTCCACAACGTCGCCGCCCGTTGTCTGGTCTCCACTGCTGGGTCCGCCGCCTTGTCGTTGCCGTCGCCGCCCCGTCGTCTCCTCGTGGCCACCTGTCGTTTGGGCTGCATTACCTGGTCCGCCGCCTTGTTGTTGCCGTCGCCGCCCCGTCGCCGCCTCGTTGCCGCTCGATGTAGACTGCACCACGTAGATTCGTTTTTCTAGATGAGAGTTGTGATCCACCGCCCTCCCGAGGTTGGACTTTCCCATGTCCCTTGGGAATGTGCATTTTACATGCGGTGTTGCCCCACCGCTCATTCTAGATATTATTTTGAGTCAAAAAAATTGTCGTATCATCCCAGCCAAATCGGTACCGGCACCCTGCGGTATCCTTGTCGAATAGCACTACGCGCACACTCGCTCATGAAATCTCAGCAATCTGCAATCATGCCTTGCAACATGTGAGACGAAGTGCATACGCGCGCGTCGTCGCGCACGCATGCCACAATCTTGTTAAAACGTCGAGAGTTCTGAGGGGAATGCAAAACCGACTGCCTCGAACACATATCAAACACCATTGCCTTGACAACATGCAATTTCAAAAAACAATAAAAAAAACTGCGCGCTTGTACGATTTCGTAGAAATACATTTTTCGAGAAAAGACAGATCCATCAATTGCGACCACACGGGCCTCGTGCGCGTGCATGTCGGAGTCGATCGAATGCCCTCGCGCGCGTGTTGAAAGCGCAATCCTGGCCAACGAATACCATGCGGGTCACTAGCGCGCGTCGGCCGCGCGCGCATGTCGAAATCCTTCCAAAACCTGCGCCGGCGCGTGGGCACCATCATCGTCATCGGCGTGATTAGCATCGGAGCCGTCATTGGCCTTGCCGTCGTCGTCGTCGTCATCCTCGTCACTTGCATCGTCGGTACCATCATCGCGTCTGCCGTTGTCGACGTCACGCCGATTCGCATTGAAGTGCCCGCGCGTCAGCGTGGCCTGCGAGACGCGCTGGGAAGTCTCCAGCGGTCAGCGCCACCGCGGCCGCGTCGGTTGCGCCAGACCAGCTGGCCGCTCAACGCGCTAGCCTGCTCGCGCTAGCACGGCCGCAAAAACGCGCCAGTCGGCGCTAACCAGTTATCGCAAGCGCCGCCGCATGGGCTCATCAAGCCAAATTGTGGGTGGGTGGGTGGGTTGACAACTCACTGCGAACAAACACGACGTGCACAGTATATGTTGGCCCACACAGGGCGCACCACTGATATTATGCACCACGTAGACTGTGGTACCACAGAGACTGCACCACGTAGATTGCAAATCATGGATTGCACCACGCAGCTTGCATCACAGATACTGCACCACATAGGTTGCACCTCGTAGCTTGCATCACGCACATCGCACCAGACTGCCAGAAACCAATGTTCCTGATCCGCGCTTGTGAACATTAACATGTGCGTTTATGTCCGTGGCTATTTCTATAGATGGCCCCCAAGGTCTTGGGTGGACCCATAGGACCGTTCGAGCAAGACGCAGGATGAACAACATGTGGTCCTGAGGGCGGGCCCCGTGGCCCAGGGCCTGTGCTCCTCTGTGTGTGAAGTCTGCTCACTTCCCTCTTACATCCCTTCCGCAACTGTGTTGGCTCAGGTATTGGCTGTCTATCCTTGAAGCACTGCTTGCTGCGCAGTGCCTTGGAAAACGAGTTCCACTGCTCGCCTCTACCCACGGACTCCGTACAGGAACTGCCCTGCGGCCGTCTTTCTTGTACTCACATCCTCTGGGCCCGCCCCCGCACGCCAGCACCCGACGAGGAACACAGCGTGCCGACGCCGCGGCCTTCCCCCGCACCGTCGCGGCCGCTCTCTGCCGGGGGATCCTGGCCCTGAGCGCGCCCGTGGACCCCACGACCAGATCTGCCCGTTGCGGGCCCGCGGCTTCTCGTAGCTCGGCGTTCCCGTTTTGCGTCTCAGTGATAGGAAGAGCCGACATCGAAGGATCAAAAAGCAACGTCGCTATGAACGCTTGGTTGCCACAGGCCAATTATCCCTGTGGTAACTTTTCTGACACCTCTAGCTGAACATTTATCAGACTTATCGTGCGCCCGTTTCGTGCCAGACCTCGCTTCCCTTGTGCCGGCAAGTTTCTGGCGACGTCAGGACGCGCGACCATGTAATTGTTCCAGTGCTTGCACGTTGGCGGGTCGTCGTCCCCATTGGGCGGTGACGAGAAGGGTGGGCTAGTTTTTCCGTCCTTCCAGGGTCTCCTCGTTCCCCTTCCATTCCTGCCTCTTTTTTGTCTTCTCCCGCCCCCGCTTCGCAGACGCTGTTCCCGTCCCGTGGCGGAGAGTGGGGGGGCGGCACGTGGAGTTTTAGGTCGCTTGTAGCCAGGAGGAGGAAAACACACAGACACAATTAATCGTCGATTCCCCAGAAAATATGGGAAAATATGGGAAGTGGGGGGGGGAAACAGAAACCCAGAAAATATGGGAACCTATGGGGGAACCGTTTATTTGTGTGTATTTACTTGTGTGTCCCAGGGCCCTTTCATTGTAGGGGCGCGAAGATGATGGCGCTTCGCGCTTCTCGGGAGGGGAGAAAACAGCATCAACGGCATGCCGCCGTGGGGAGGGAACCCGCCGGCGTGGTACTCTTACTTTCCGTCGCTTCTTGCACGGAAGCCTGGTGCCCCTTCCACAGAGCCGCGCCGATGGATTCCACATTGCGTCGTGCCACGGATGCTGTTCGTTGACCCCCTCATGCGGATGTCCTGTCCTGTCCTGTTCTCCTCCCCCTCCTCCTCCTCCTCCTCCTCCTCCTCCTCCTCCTCCTCCTCCTCCTCCTCCTCCTCCTCTGTTCTCCTCTCTCCTCCGCCTCCTCCTCCTCCTCCGCCTCCTCCTCCTCCTCCTCCGCCTCCTCCTCCCCGATCCTGGGCACCGGACGGGCCACCCCCGGCGGAGCGGCCCGGGGCCAGACAGGCTGCCCCGCTCAGAGGGGGGGCCGCCCGGGTGTGCGGAGAGAGAGCCGCGCGGCACGTTTGCGCGGGATCTGGTCGCCCGGGTGCTCTCTCGGCCCTGCCTGGTGCTCCTGCCGGCCGGGCCCGCCGGTCTCGAGACTTGCGGCGGGCGCTGCCCGTCGGCGCAAGGTCTGGGAAGCTGGAGGAGCTCATCGAGGATTTCACCAGGACGCGCCGGTCGTTTCGCCTCGTTTCTCGAATCGTGTGTGTGTGTATATATATATACATCACTCTTGCTCTTTCTCTGGTTCTTCGTCGCCATATTCGTGTTCTTCGTTTTCTGTATATTCCCTGACGTGCTGCATGTTTGGAACAATTCGTCCTGGTGGCGCCAACTTCCTCGCCACCGCTTGCCTTATTTCTTAGCCTTCGTTGCCGCTAGCTCTGTCTGCCACCACTGGTCCACGCGTTAGCCTGGATGCAGCCAGTGCTCAGCAGTCTCAGCCGCACTCCTCCCTTTCTGCGGGCTTCGCTCCGCTCGGAGGCAGAGTGGCAAGGCAAGCAGGATCTGCTCGTCGGCGTTGCTCTGCCTTCTCCTCCTCCCCCCCTCCTCCTCCTCCTCCTCCTCCTCCTCCTCCTCCTCCTCCTCCTCCTCCTCCTCCTCCTCCTCCTCCTCCTCCTCCTCCCCCTCCTCCTCTCCCTCCTCCTCCTCCTCCTCCTCCTCCTCCTCCTCCTCCTCCTCCTCCCCAGGCCCTCCTCGGCCCTCTCGCGTCGTGAAGCCTCACGACGTATTTTTTCCCCCAGGGAGCACGTCTGCATCCCCATGTGTGCGGCTCGTAGGGGAAGGCCGGAAAGGAAATCATGCGGGAGACCACGCGGCAGACCCTGCAGTCGACCCGCGCAGGAAGGATGGGCGACCGTCCCAAGGGCACCTTTGCATCCTTGCCTCCTCCTCCTCCTCCTCCTCCTCCGCCTCCTCCTCCTCTTCCTCCTCCTCCTCCTCTTTGCATCCTTGCCTCCTCGGTCCATCCGTGGCCGCTTTCGTTGGCCGCGCCCAGCTCGAACAGCTTCGAAGTGGGCGTCCAAGGCCCCTGCACCCTTATCGCGCATCCTTGTGATACTCTGGAGGGGGCAATCATCGCCCCCCCCCCCCCCCCTGGATCCTCTGGGGGGGTTGGGCACGTGCTGTCGAGCGGGGTGGAGGGCCGGGTTGGAGGAGGAGGAGGAGGAGGAGGAGGGAGGAGGAGGAGGAGGGGGAGGAGGAGAAGAAAGAGGAGGAGGAGGAGGAGGAGGAGGAGGAGGAGGAGGAGGAGGAGGCGGAGGAGGTGGAGGAGGGGTTTTTGGATGGGCAAGCTCCGTCGGAAGGCTACCCGCCCACTCCTCGATCCCCATCCCATCCAGCGTGCGGGCTGATTGTACCCTGGAGAGCATGCGGGAGGCCACGCGGGAGACCGCACGCGGGAGGCCACCTATGCGGGACCCCCCCGCGGGCCAGGAGCCACCAACTGCCTTCCAGAGACAGATGCTCGGGGTTTCTTAATCGGCGTGGGGGGTACCCCCCCCCCCCCCCCGACGGGGTTCACCTCGCCGCGTCGTCGCGCCGCGACGGGGGTCGGAGCGCCTTCGGCGCGAGGCGGCTGTCCGCGACGGGGGTCGATGTGGGGCTGTCGGCGGGGGTGACGCCCCCCGACGCTCGTTAAGAAACTCGGAGTATGCGGAAGACCCTGCGGGAAACCGCAGAGGAGACCACGCTGCTGCACGCGCCTCTGGTTTTCATGGGTCGAAAGGGTTTCGGGCGGGCGGTAATGGGGGGTGACCCAAATTGGGGTGAAGAACAAGGCCCTAAAGGGGCCTTTTAGGGCCTTTTTCTTCACCCCGAATTTGGGTCACCCCCCATTACCGCCCGCCCGAGGGTTCACACATGCCTCGAAGAGACCTGGGATCCCCCATCGCCTCAGGAAGACAGTGACCCTTCATCCTCCCAACCCCTTGCTCCCAACACGAAAATTGTTCTCTCCTCAGACACGCTGTTTTGACCAGGAGCTGGTCCCTGGGAACTGGCCCAGACCCGGGGGGGGGGGGCAGGAGCCACCGATTTTTTCCAGAGACAAGTGCGGAAGATCCTACGGGAAACCGTAGGGGAGACCACGCTTTACGCGCCACTGGTTTTCAGGAGTCGAAAGTGCTCACACACGCCCAGAAGAGACCTGGGATCCCCACAGACATTCAGGAAGACAATCATCGGGTTGGGAGGATGGGGTTTGGGAGGCACGAGGACACATCCTTACCCGTAGGCGGCCGCCGGTATCGTTCGTTGCATCCGGATGCTATTGCTCATGCCATCTGGAATGGCATGAGCAATAGCATCCGGAAGGGGCTGGGAGGATGACATTTTCACCCTCCCAGCCCCTTCCCCCCCAACACGCGAACTGTTCGCCCCCGACGCGCTGTCTTGACCAGGAGCTGGCCCCGGGGGGCCGGGCCCAGACCCGGGAGGGCCCGCACTGCCCAGCCACGACCGCCTGGAGGCCTGGGGGCCCTCCTCGCCCCCGCCTCTCGCAGGGGAGGCGGAGGGGAGGGGAGGGCAGGACGGAGGGCAGGAGGAGGAGGAGGAGGAAAACGAGGAGGAGGAGGAGGCGGAGGAGGAGGAGGAGGAGGTGGTGAAGGAGGAGGAGGGGGAAGGAGGGGAGGAGGGGGAGGAGGGAGGAGGAGGAGGAGGAGGAGGAGAGGAGGAGGGGAGGAGGAGGAGGAGGCGGGGGGGCGAGCGGCGGGGAGGCGGAGGAGGGATCAGCAGTCGCGCGACGGGGGCCGGCCCCCCTCTGTCGCCCGAGGCCCGAGGTCGGGCAGGTCGGTGCAGCGTTGGATGGGGTGACGACCGCAGCCCCCCCATCTCGCGCGCGCTGCATCGGTGCTGCAGCGGGGCCCTCGGTGGCCCGACTCCGGGGCGGCGGCGCCTGGTGCGAGCATGCACGCGGCGGGAGGGCCTCGGGGTCATCCGCCCCCGCCTCCTCCTGCTCCTCCTCCTCCTCCTCCTCCTCCCCTCCTCCTCGCTCCTCCTCCGCCTCCTGCTCCTCCGCTCCTCCTGCTCCTCCCGCTCCTGCTCCTCCTCCTCCTCCTCCTCCTCCTCCTCCTCTCCTCCTCTTCCTCCTCCGCCTCCTGCTCCTCCTGCTCCTCCTGCTCCTCCTCCTCCTGCTCCTGCTCCTGCTCCTCCTCCGCTCCTCTTCCTCCCTCCGCTCCTCCTCCTCCTCCTGCTCCTCCCGCTCCTCTTCCTCCTCTGCCCCTCCTCCCGCTCCTCTTCCTCCTCCTCCTCCTCCTCCTCCCTCCTCCTCCTCCTCCTCCCCCTCCTTCTCCTCCTCTTCCTCCTCCCCCTCGTCTTTCTCCTCCTCCTCCTCCTCCTCCTCCTCCGCCTCCTCCTGCTCCTCCTGCCCCCTCCCTCCTCCACCCGCCGCACCGCCCCTGGCGAGCCTCGCATCCCCCGCCAGGGTGACGAACAGTTCCCCTCGGATGGGCCCCACTTCCGCCAGCAGCGCCTCAGACCTGCGGGTCTCTTCATCGGGGGCGGAAAAGAGGGGGGTGATGACTAGGGGGGGGGGATATTATGGCGTGGGCCATGATATTTCCTCAGATTTCATGGCGCCTCTTCTTATTTCATTACGTCCCTGGCCCCCCCGCTGGGCCGCGCACATGCCGCCGGTCATGCTTTGCACCCCCCCTCTTGAACACCCCCCTCTTGGCCGCTCCCGACTTCAGACGGCGCAACTTCGCACGCGTACGCTACATATACGCCTGGTCCGGCTTCAGCAATGTGTCGGAGCAGGTGCGAGATCGTCCTGTGCCACATTCTGCTATACGGTCAACCCGCATAGTATGGATGGGCAACCTTCCCAAGGTACCCATGCATCCTTGCCTCCTCGGTCCATCCTTGGCCACTTTCATTGGCCGCGCCCCGCTCGAAGAGCTTCGAAGTGGGCGTCCAAGGCCCTCGCATCCTTATCGCGCATCCTTATGACACGGGCCGACTGTACCTTCTCCCAGCGACTGACAAACGCTCCACTGCAAACCAGGGACGGAGACGAACGGCCCGCAGCCCCTCGGGGGCCGTCCTGCCTCCACGCCCCTCCGCCCCGCTTGCTGCTCCCAGCCTCTCCGCGGGACCGACAACCTATCAATGGTGCTGAACACCGCCCAGGGGCGCCGAACACCGACCAGGACCGCCGAACACCAACCCTCGCCGCCGAAGACCGACCATCGCCGCAGAACGCCGACCAGGGGCGCCGAAAACCGACCAAGGGCGCCGAACACCGACGGGGGTCGCCGAAAACCGACCAGGGGCGCCGAAAACCGACCAAGGGCGCCGAACACCGACCGACGGCCGCCGAACACCGACCACGGGCCGCCGAACAGCGACCGAGGGCGCCGAAAACCCACAGAGGCAGGGCTCAGTTCGATTCCTCCGATTCGGTTCGATTCGATTTCGATGCCTCCCGATTCCGAGTCGATTCGATTTCGGATTCCGATTTGGGCTCCGACTTTCCAGTGGAGGCATTGCAGCCCGCCGGCTTCCGCCGATTCGACTTCTCCCGACTCGGCTGCCGCTTCCTGCCGATCCGACTGCCCTCGATCGCCGACCCGACCGGCCGACTCCCAGAGATCCGATGTCGTGATTTTTTTCCATACGTCGTCTGGGCCGTTGTTTTCTGGGTCGTTTTTTGACGGTCCCGGGGCGCGGCGAGGGCCCCCCAGTGCCGAGAATAACGAGCGACCGCCCGCCCTTCTTTTCTCACGACGCGATTGTGTCTGTGGATCGAGCAGAACCTCCGTCTTGATTGTTTCGATACGCTGGGCCTCTGGGTTCGACCCTGGGCTCTCCTGCAGGGGGCGACGAGCCGCCCGCCGCAGGATGAAGGACAACCTCTTCCTGGCGCCGCCGGGGCCCCCCCCGGGGGCCGCCCGCCCGCGGCAGGAGGAGGAGGAGGAGGAGGAGGAGGAGGAGGAAGAGGAGGAGGAGGAGGAGGAGGAGGAGGAGGAGGGGGAGGAGGGAGGAGGAGGAGGAGGAGGAGGAGGAGGGAGGAGGAGGAGGAGGAGGAGGCGGAGGAGGAGGAGGAGGAGGAGGAGGTGCTGGTGGAGGAGGAGGAGGAGGAGGAGGAGGAGGAGGAGGAGGAGGCCTCGCCGCCCCTGCCCCGCACGCCTGCCGCGCCCGGCCCGCCGCCGGCCGTCGCTGTCCCCCCCGGGG